TTGAAACATTCACACGTATACATAGTTACACACTAACACAACACGTTGAATTTAAGTTACTCGGATAATTTTCGAGGAACTAGTTTTTTAATGGTTGATGGTTTGACGAGCATCATTTCAAACGAGTTATTTATAAATACCGGTCTCGATGTTCGTTGAATGAAAATAATTTTAAAAAAAATTGGGGGGGGGGGAAAGAAAAAAAAAAACAACATATTGATATCGAGAGTGAAGAATCGATTATAATTGATCGAACGATCAATTAATGTTTTTAAAGGATCATCGTACAAAACCGTACGCGTTGACGAAAATGTTTAATAGTTTTACTAGGAAGTAGAACTATGCATTATAACGGATTGCACGTTCTTCTTTCAAGGTTCACATAAATGAGGGTCACTTGGTAAGTAACTTTATTATACTCTTCCTTGATTTTAAACTGTTTAATATTTAATTAAACGTTTCTTCCATTGATTTTATTCAATGATCGTTTGAAAAGTATCATTGGATATCGATTTGGGAAACAAATAATTACGATTTTAAATTATTTGTATTAATTATTTGATTTTTAAATATTTTATGTTCTAATTATCATTTATTTAATGTTATTATTTATTGTAACTAATGAAATCTTGTATTATTGAATTTTACTATTATCTTTATTTTTATCGTTTAACAACATCTTCCAATTGAAAGTTTAGAAATAAAATAAATATTTGTTTTGTTTGAAGAAAATTGCCTTGCCTCGAAGATGAGAGATGAGATGAGATATTATTTAATTATTATTTCTTAATAATAATTTAAGAACGATTTTGTCTATAAAACAATTCAAGAAGTTGCAATAAAAAAATAACAAAAAAATAAAAAGAATTCAATATTAATCATAACGAAACAATTATTTATACTCGCGTCCCAATTAGATATAAAATATTGAAATAAATTATAAATTAAAATCTGCAATGTGTAACACACGTATAATATAAAATGAAATCGAGATGATCCGCGTTGTCACAAAAATGTACAATAAAAAAGAAGTTTCACGTCGAAGAATGTAATAAGAAGAATCGTTTGAATAATTCTAACGTGTGTGTGTGTGTGTGTGTGTAAAGTGAGAGATACGACGTGGTGTTACATAGTAAGTGAGAATACTTACTAACACAAAAGTATATAAATACCCATAGGATGGGATTCTCCTTCTCCTCCTCCTCGTTTATCTTTATAAAGATGGGAAAAGTTATTTTAAATGTCAAGAGAGAACGAAGGACAATAATAAAAGGTTAGGCAGGAATTATTCTTACATCTTACATTAGTATGAAATGAGTGACAATGATCGATGAACAACTATGATCACGAACGCATCATTTATTCCTTTTGCTTGGCACGAAGATGAAGATACGATTTGCGAGATATCGAATAAGTAACTTTCACTTTTTCTAATAGAATTACGATCTAGGAGTAAAGATAAGAAAAACAAAACAAAACAAATAAACGGTGTATAATAAGAAATAACAAATCTTAAAGATGCAACAGTTTTCAAAATGGAAGAGTACGGTAGTTCGTGGAACGGATCAAATAACAGAGAATAAGAGGGTTTTAATATATCTATATATATGTATATCTATGTATATATATATGTATATATACAGACAGTATATCTTTTATAAGAATGGGTCACCTCAATTATCCATTTTGTCTGATTACGTTCGAAGCTCTTCTTCTTGTAACGGATGTTATCGAGACATAGAAAGTCGTAACTGGGTGAACCCAACAGCTGCTATTTTTACAGGACTTATTCATTCAAAGTATTATTTTAATATACATATTAGAGAAAGTTGTTATATTTATTTTTTATATTATATATGATCCTGAGAGATCAAAATCACGATAATATTTATTCTATCGTAAATAATATAAATATTAATATATATATTTATGTATGTATGTGTCTTTTATGTGTCGTTTATATATGATTTAAATTCTATTGTATTTAAACGTTTGAATTATTTATTCGAATTAAAAAGAGTATGCAATATTCGCAAAATCGTATTTAACATATTGGGGTTAATTTCGAGTGAACTTTAATCGTGACAGTGTCATGCTGTTACTATTCCTTGTCACAAGTGTCAAATGTCAAATCATTTAAAGTGATTTAATCGTATCAAAGAAAGTATACAATTAATAGACATACAAAAGGTTTGATCCTTTTTTTTCTAAGTATTTTACTTATTATTAATAAGTTTTTTACGAGTATAATATGCGTGTTGTTTTATTTTATTTTACTGACAATTATATATATTTAATTATTAATAATTAAAAATTTATAATATACACATGAAGGTTTTAACTTTCAGTAAGTTTTATTTTTTTTTTTGTACGAGTAATATATGAGTCAATTCACAGAAATTTATCTTTGGTAATGATGATGATGATGATAATGATGATGATGATGATGATGATAAAGATTTTTCTAACGATTCAAAGCTATTATTTTTACATTGATCGTGACAGTGGAATATAAATGAAATAATTAACATTACTAGTGATTTTTTTTTTTTTGTTAAATCGATTTGTAACATAAAAGAATGTCGTTAATAACGTTCGAAACAATTTTCACGTGTCAGTAATAATAATAATTAAATACAATTATTTATAAGAGATTGTGCATTGGATAACGTTTATAATGATCGTATCAAAATTCGTAACATATTTGTTTAGCATTATTTAACTTGTTTTTAATGGATCGTTAAATAATAAGTAATTGTTTTTTAACTCGTACATAAAAAAAAGAAAAAAAAAAGAAAATAAGTGTGCGACGAGTGAATATAGTTGATTAATAAAAAAAAAATAAATATCCGTCTACGATTAAATCTTATATTTTTTTAATGATCTTTATTTCTCTCTCTCTCTCTGTCTCTCTCTTTCTAAATCACAAAAAGGTAAACCTAGTATAACAAAGTTTTGCGTAATACGAGAGATCGAATTTCAATTTAAAAACACGTTCTCTACTCTACTCGATTCAGTTCAAACTATATTACAAGCTTTTAATAATAACGTTAAATGCATTTCGAAACGTAACTATAATGCAGGTTAATACTAATAATACACCATTGGACAATGGAATTCGTAATAAACATTTCTAGATGTAAGTTTAAACAAAAAATGGTAATATTACTTAGTCGTGAACGCGAATAAAAGGAACATTGATCGATAGATCTTTTTTTTTCTTTTATTTTTTCTTTTTTTTTTAAATTGATCACGAAATTAATTATTTTCAATCCAACGTGTTTCTCATTATTTTGATAGAAGAACAATAATATATATAGCAAAGTATTCGTGAATAATGTATTTTATTTCAAATAAATACACTTTTCGAAATGAAACATTTTTTTGTTTCTAACATTAAACCTATTGATAATTCCGTGTATTTTATTTATACCATAACCGGTCAAACAACTCAATTTTCTATCAATCAAAAAAAATTATATGTTGTACAACTTGATGCACAGATAATAGTCAATTGAAATATTTGCTATAATAATAAAAAAATACTAATGTAAAAATAGTTATAATTATGATGCAATAACAACGTATCGAATATATTATTGAATTTTATATACTAATGATGGTTTTTTAGAGAACGATTAGTGTTGAGAAAAAAAAAAACAAGAAAAAAATTAATTTAAAAAAAAAAGAAAAAGTGAAAGAACATTTAGCAATATATATTTCCACTTATTGTTAGGCCCCATACACTTGTTGGTTAGGTAAAAGTCATTGCAATCTCAAGAGATCGGACACATTTGACGTTGCTTTCACTATGCTTGCCGTTAGTCAAGTACGATACCAACGAGACAAACTAAACAAATCGGGTCAAGTGCATCGAGGTTGATGATTATTAGCGTGTCTATATCCAAAGAAGAGATTCCAGTCTTCTTTCTAGAGTGCGTCCAAAGAGGAACTCGCAAATTACCCTCGAGCTTTCAAAGAACATATTACAATATATATATATATATATATATACATGCATATGCATATGCATCCATATATACACAACTAGAAGGAGACTTTTTTATCCTTGTATTATTTTTGTACGTGTTATTAATTAAAAAATATAATATATATTTGTAATTGTTTTTTTTATAAATGATAAAACTGTATGACAGTATATAATAATTAATGTTCAATAAAATAAATGTGTGTGTATAATTTGATCTATATATATATTGGAATTATCGTGAATCGTTTAAAAAAAATATTATATTATATAAGAATTATCTTCATAAATTATATATATATATAATATATAATATTAATAATTATAAATAATTATTCAATTATTTTCATGTGGTTTTTTTTTTGTTTGTTTTAAATTAAAAGCACGTGGCACGTGTTCGTATAGTCGAAATTATTGTTGAAATAATACGACTTGTTAGATCTAATATAAAAATGAATGAAATAATACAACGTGTAATCGACGAATTCTTGAAATAGAAATAATTTAATTGAACAAAACAATCTGTTATATATATATCTTTCAATATCGACCTTCGTTGGTATACGTTATATTTCTTTTTCAAAATTATTCAATGAAATTACGTTGCACTCACGAATAATCAAATTTGTTCACTCGTTCTCTTTCTATTAACGATGACGTACTTCTTCGTGATTTACATCGAACGAATTCACAAAAGGAACTTGCGAATTAGTTTAGATCGAAAGACGGATGTCATAAAAAGTGGACGCGTTAGGGTTGTTGCTTCGGCAAATTACCGATAAATATTTCACACGCGAATATTGTTGTTGAACTCTCTTACGCTTTCTTATTTTCCTTACATCGATCGCATTGATTTCGAAACTTATACAAAAAAAAAAAAAAATATATATGTATCAAAAAATATATTATTGGAAAAAATTCAATAATTATTTCTCAATTTTCCATTATATTCGTATATATTAAAATATTAAATAAATTAAATAATTCGTTATATTATGAAAGTTAATCTTACCTTTAATGCATTCCATAAAAGTTCACTCACGTTTTGTTATATATTTTCGAATAGGGAAAATATCGATCGTTGATTTTGTTGTTGTTATTTTTTTTTGGTTTTGTTTGTTTAAATTACATCGATATACCAAAGTGTTTTCTTTTTAAGATTTATAATACTTACTAGGATTGTCCAGTATTATTTATAAAATTTAACGATATATGTATATATATTGTTTTAAATATATAAAAAATATGTAGTATATAATTAATTAATTAATTAAAAAGATCGATACGTTCATATAAAATCGATTTGTGGTTTCACGTTATATATTACCAAGAAGATCGATCATACAACTCCTCTTAAAGTTCAGTTATTTAACTTTTTTTTTCTTTTTCTTTTCTCTTCTTCTTTTTTTCTTTTTTTTTTATTCGCGAATAAGTCGTGCCGATCACGTTCGAGTTTTCTTGTATGTCTGCACAACGCGATGTCGTGCAGGCTACTGAGCTCTCCGATTGCGTTATACCAACACCAGCTTGAAAAAGCGTATTCTAATAAAGCAAAGCTAGTATTATAGTTACCTAAGTTTACCTACACGATCATAGTTTATGTATTATCAGTATAATACATTACAATTTATTTAACACAAGACAAATTATATTTTTTGTGTGATAAATACAATTTCATTATTTTTGCTTTTTTCTTTTGTTTTATTATTTGTATTATTATTTTGGTGAATTTTATTATCAAAGTATTTCATCGATATACTTAATTTACTCATATTTAAAAGAAATTTCTTTAATAATGAATAAATACAAAATGAAAATAATTGTTATAACTGTTAAATAATAAATGATATAGAACATAGTATATTAATTTATTAATTTTCTCTACTTTTCTTTAGTATTATATCAAACAATGAACCTATTATCTATTTAAATGAGCCAAAATTGATATGATTAGTAAAATGAAATAAAAATGTGTCCTGTGTTTCTTTGTATCAAAAGAAAAAAATAAATTTTAATATTGAAATAAATTATTAATCGAAATATCTCGAGATAAATTTCTTTCTTTAGTATTTCATTTAATCTATTTATATAAACTTTGGTTTACTTAAATGCTATAAACCTCTTATATATACAGTAATAATAGATTGCCACATAAATCAGAATAATAGCCGTTTCAAAAGAAACGGGAAAAGTTAACTTTTTAAATTAAAACTATCGAGTTGAGATTTCTACGGCATTGACGTTCCGCACGATAAAAGATAAATGTTACGAAAGTTTTCTTTTAAAGATTTATATTATCCCTCTGGCGTACACCGCACAACGTTTTGTACGTTTCCATTAAATAAAACGAAAATATTAGCATTTAAAGTTTTATTATAAATAAAAGGAATTAAAATAAAGTTCATCTTTACTTAAAAATCCTTCCTTGATAAAAAAAAAAGAAAAAGTAATGGTTGCTTGGCAGCAATAATTATAATGTTCACATTTCATCAAGTATCTTGAAAAAATATTCAACCTAAAGAATATTTACAAATGTTATTTAAAAATAGATAGAGATTCACCATATTAAATAATTCGTATAATTGAATTACCTCTAATGGTCCATCCTCTAGTAAATCCGAACAATGAACAGCATTTTGTACTTTCGTCTTTCCATATTTTGCTCTTAAAGTATTTGGTCTTATTTGACGAGCAATATCCTACAAAAAATTTAAATAAGACATTCAACAACATATTTTCGGAGATATGAAATAATTGGCTTGCTTAGAAAACTTTTATCTTTGAAAATGAATACTAGAATAGAATTTATAGTATAAATCCTTCTATAAATGTATAGGAAGAAAATGCTTTCAATGTAAATTTTATTGGAAGAATTAAATTAAAACATTTACCGGATCCATTGGACCGCAAAATTTTCTAAAGTCTGTGTGTACATCGCAATCTGTATCCTTATGAGTTATTTCCATAACAATGCAAGGTCCAGACTGTAACTCACTTACCATAGACTATTTTAGAAATATTAGTATTAGATTAATAATTCTGTTTTATGTCATCCTTGACATTCTTATTAAAAATTAGTCGATTAATAACTTACTCCATATTCTGTGAGTACTCCTTTATAGACTTCTAAAAATTCTTCTGCATTAACTGAATCCACATGAAATTGTTGAATTGCAGTAATTGTATAACCAGCTTTCTGGATATCTTCAACAATGTGACCTATGCATATTTATGCAACACAATTAAAATAACTACTATATAATTTGATGATTACACTTAAGAGAAAAATTATATTAATTACCTATAAGTTTTTGTTGTACTGCATGCGGTTTAATAATGCAGCATGTACAATTGTTTAATGTTGCAGTATTACCAGGTCCTTTCTTCCTGCTTTTTTGATCTGGAAAGAAAAAAGATAATTCCTGAAACAGATAAGCTAAATTAAATTAAAGTTGAAATCTGTAATGCGTATCATGTTTTTAAAAAAAATTTACATGCTCCGCTGCATCTGGATTCTCAGAACCATGAAAACCATTTTGAATATTATCTTTTCCGTAACACGCTCTTAAAGAAGATGGTGCTGTTTTACGAGCTTCATCGCTATCTTCTGGACCTATGACTTTTAGCCATTGTGCAATAGCATCATCTCCTAAAAGTTCTAGCGCTACGACAGGTTCAGATGTAAGGAAATTTATAATATATCTGTACGAGGAAAAATATATGTATATACACAAAGAACTTACATATAATTTGCGTAAAAAATATTTATCACTTACGGTAATTGAGCTGATTCTTTCCCTTTACAAAATTCTGTCACTTGTTCTTTGGTAAGTTTTACCATCTTAATATTAGCGACATGAAAATTATGAGTCATTATCCGTTTTAATATTTCCCCCATTTTATCCATTACATCTGGTTTTATCATTGCAAAAGTCCTGAAATGTAAAATAATAATTAATAATTATAAATATCTAAATCTTAATTAAATATTATCGCCAATAAAATAATGACTCTTACTTTTGTGTTAACGTTTGCAATTTAGTCTTCGTACCCTGATCAGCGAAGTCAGTAATTTTTATGTTTCTTGAATATATAGTTACAATTGCTCCAACATAAAAATCTTTTGCTTGAATGCCATCGCATTTGGTTCTTCTTAAAAACGTTTTCTTTGTTTTCAAATCAAACTGCAATATCCAAATAAACATTAAAAATAAAATATTTATATATAATAGAAAATTAAAAAAGAATATAATTTTTAATCCATACCAATTCAACAGTATTATCTGCTGGATAATAATATAGATAAAATTTTTTCAATATACAAGCAACCTTGTCGTACCATTCTGCTTCAAAGATATAACGTTCTGTATAGTCCATAGACATTGTTATAAAATTATAACCACTAATACAAGAGCTCTGTTGTTTTATCTTAAATTTAAAATTATTTATATTAATTGTCTATAAAAATATTTAATATCAAACATAAATATACATACTTTTTTTTAACTAAATAATAGTAATTGTAAACGACGTAACGTTTAACAGTTTCTATGGTAATAAGCATTGCATAGGTTAAAACAAAAATATTATGCAAACAAGTTTTAAACAATATAACAATTTATAAACATTATATCCACAATTAACAAGTATTGTTAATAAATTTGTTATAACGCGTAGGGATACGTATAAAGAATATAAATATACATGAATTTAAACACAGCCAAATAAAAATATGAATTCGTGATACACTAGCGACTCTGTCGGTAATAATGGACACTAACGAGAATCAGTTTTTTTCATGCACGTAAATATGTTGACGGCGCGAATACAACGGAAATGTTAGAGAAGTGCCGAAAGATGCGGGATTCTACGTTCATCCTTTCGTCTATAAGGTTTCAATTAAACAGTTAAAGTGCACGTTCAAAAATATCATTTAACAATAACTGTACATATAAATAATATTTTAAGAAAACTGCCGGGAGTATTCTCACTGTAAAATAAATGTTAGTATGCTGGAAATATTGGATTTTAAGGTTAAAATTTCAATAAATAATCCACCAGCGATGTCCTATAAGAAACTATTAAACTAAAGTGAATAATATTGTGCTCATATTTTTAACCGACAAGAGTGTTTAAAATGTATAAATAATATTTAGTCAAAATGTCTAACATTGAATCATGCAAAGATCGTCAGGATAACGAATTGGAAGTTTTGAAAGTATACCTTTTTTTTTTTATCGTTGCGTGTTTATCATCAGTGTTTACATTTTTTTTTTTTTATATATATATATAACAATAATAATAATAATAATTAATAAATCGAATATTTGCAGTCTATATTTGGTGATGAGTTGCGCGATTTGAGAAAAAATAAGACTAAAAAGAAATGGCAACCATTAGATATTTCAATAACATTAACACCACAGAAAGGAATGTCTGGACCAGCCGAAATTTATGCGCAAATAGATTTACATATAACATGCGGAGAAAAGTATCCTGACGTGTAAGTTAATGAACTATCCTCTCCCCCACTCCCTGCTTTTTTATTTCTACTGATGTATTCAATTTTTTTTTTTTTTTTTTATTATTGATTTTTGTAGTGTGCCCACCATGGAATTAAAAAATAGCCAAGGTTTGTCAAATCAGCAAGTAGAAGTTTTATACACCGAACTTACACGTTTAGCTTATCAATTAAGTGGCGAAGTTATGATATTTGAACTTGCTCAACACGTTCAAAAATATTTACATGAACACAATAAACCAAGTTATAGCAGTTTCTACGAAGAAATGATATCTAGACATCAAGAAAAGAAACAGTATGAGATGCAAGAGAAACAACTTAAAGAAGACAAGGAGAGACAGGTTGTTATTATTATATTTTATATAATACGTATACAATATTATTAGTTTAACTATTATAATCTAACATTGTTCGATAAGGTATTACAAGATGAGATTCAAAAGCGACAAGACGCATTGAAAGCTGAAATGCGTAATTTTGCTCGAAAATACTTTGGATCAGATGTAGCATCTCAAACTTTACCATCATCTCCGCAAGAAAAAGTAAGGACATATTCTAGACGTAGATGTATAAGTACATCCGAAAGTTCTGAAGGTTCTCTATGTGAACATAGAGGCACAAAGTTACTCCACTTTGATAATAGTAAAGGAGAAAGACAAATACATAGAGGAAAGTGTTTAGGTCATAGCAATAAAGGTTCTATCGTATATGCTGGTTTGGACATGACATCGGGTGAACTAGTAGTGGTTACAGAATGGACATTAAAATATGGTACACATAAAGAGAAACAAGAAAAGCGTGATATTGCAGATTTACAGTATGCTATGAAACAAATCAGTAGTCTTGAGCAAGAACTCAATCATTTACACAAATTACATCATCCAAATTTAGTGCATTATTTAAATATGAAATATGTGCAAGATAACAATAATATAATAATATACATACTTCAAGAATTTGTGGTATGTACTTGTATATTTATATATTGAGAATTTATATAATGTATTATTATTATTATTCAATAATTAATGATATATTTTGTAATAAAATATCTATACTTTATAAAAATAGGTTGGTACCTCATGTGCATTTTTTCTTATGGAAAACATTTCGATTGATATAGACATACTCAGGCATTTGGCTTCTGGCATTCTCTCAGCATTGCAGTACCTTCATGAGAATAATGTTGTACATAGGGATTTGCGCGATACAAGTGTTTTTATAGATCATATCGGTGGAATAAGACTAGCTGATTATTCATTAGATAAAAGATTAGCAGATATATATCGCACTAGTTCCTTAGCCAAAGTAGAACATGATTTTCCAACTATTCAAGGTAGAGGTGGTAAAAAAACAGATATTTATCGATTTGGTATATTGATGCTCTCTTTACTCAAAGGAACTATAGTATCAGGGAAGGATATCGATTTAACAATAATATTACAGGTATTTTATAATGAATATATGTATCTATTATTGAAATATTTTTATTCTAAGCAATATAGTTTTTTCTCTATTTTTCAGCCCCACTTAAAAGACTTCATTTCAAAATGTCTTGTTAACGATGAAAGATTGCGTTGGTCTGCGGAACAATTGTTACAACATAGTTTCATTAAAACACCTCTCGATCATAGTTTGTCTCGTCTCAAATTGAAAACTAATAATGAACAAAAAGATGATGAACCTGAAAAGCCAGATTCTGACATTGAACTTCATTTACCAACATTGGGTGGACAATCGCGTATACGAAATGAATTTGAGATATTAAAATGGCTGGGAAAGGGAGCATATGGAGATGTTTTGAAAGTTAAAAACAAATTAGATAGAGGTGTATATGCTATCAAACGAATTGAATTAAATCCAAAAAAGCGTCAGTTAAATCGAAAGATTACACGTGAAGTTAAATTACTTTCACGTGTGAATCATGAAAATGTCGTTCGTTATTATAACTCATGGATTGAAAGTGCTACCATAGATGATTCGTTGCAGCATAATGAATCAATACTACATTTGACTACTTCTTCCATAAATATAAGCAACGAACTGACCAAATTAAATACAGTTAATGTAAATATATTGTTAATCATGACGTCAATAAAATTGAATCAAATAATATGTAGCGATTGTTCTATAATATGTTTATACCGTTGTATACTTTTTTTATATTGTAACAATGTCTAACGTAAATTTTTAGCATCAGGGAAGTGACGAAAAGCTTGCACCACCTATACAAGATGTTGAATGGAGTATATCATATGAATCTGTAGCAAGTGCAGCTAATACAGCTGATAGTGAAAGCAACAATTCAGATGCGTCCTCTGAATCCGATAGTGATGATGATAGTTCATTTGTGTAAGTAATACTTTGTAATAAGATCATTTTAAAAATGTTTTAACTTATAATAAACATATTTTAGAGTGAGAACATTCCGTCGAATAGATTCTTCAGATAGTATAGAATTTAAAGAAGACATTTCTCAAGCCAGTCCTGATAATTCCAATGATCATGAAAAATCTAATGTCAATACCCTTAATTCTTCTGGAGGAAAAGAAATACAATTTATGTATATACAAATGGAATTTTGCGAGAAAAGCACTTTGAGAACTGCAATTGATAATGGTTTATATGAAGATGAAGAACGAGTGTGGAGATTGTTCAGAGAAATTGTTGAAGGTCTTACGCATATACATCAGCAGGGTATGATACACAGAGATTTAAAACCTGTTAATATTTTTTTGGATAGTAATGACCATGTTAAAATTGGAGATTTTGGTCTTGCTACAAGTAATATATTATCATCGTTAGCACAGACTGTAGATAATGACAAAGAAACTGATAAGTTAGAAAAAGGTATGATTTTTAATATTTTCTCTCTCTCTCTCTCTCTTTCTACATTTGGTATTATAATTATTTAATTATTAAAATGATGAGACATATTATTTTTTATTTAGATGCAAGTTATGATGTAGATGAATTAAGATCTTTAACAGGTGAGGTAGGTACAGCTCTATACGCGGCTCCAGAACTTTCTGCAAAAACTGCAAAGGCTATTTACAACCAAAAAGTAGATATTTATAGTTTGGGAATTATACTTTTTGAAATGTGTTATAAACCTCTTAATACTGGAATGGAGAGAGTAAAAGTATTATTAAATTTGAGATCAAAAGATATTATTTTGCCTTCTGACATATCGGAATCCGACATGCCTCATCAAGTGCATATTTTTCGGTAATAATTTGCATAATATTTTATTTCTTATTACTATTAAATATTTTCAAAGATAGAATGTAAAAATTCTTACTTTATTACTTATAGTTGGTTATTAAATCATGATCCTAGTCAGCGACCGACAGCACAAGAATTACTTTCATCTGAATATTTACCTCCTCCACAATTAGAAGAAACTGAACTTCAAGAAATGGTGCGACATACCTTATCTAATACTCAAAGCAAAGCATACAAGTATTTAGTTGCTTCTTGTTTTATGCAAGAGGTAACAGCAGCAGAAGACATCACATACGATATGAATTTAACTGCTAAGGAAATTGCTAATCTTATTTCATCAAAAAGACTGTATTTACAAGAGAATGTTAAAGCTAAAGTTATTGAAATATTTCAAAAACATGGTGGTATATGTTTAAACACTCCACTCTTAATGCCGAAGTCCAGTCAGCATAATAATTTTACTGATGCGAGCGTACAACTTATGACGCGAACTGGAAGTATTGTTTCCATTCCACATGACCTAAGAGCACCATTTGCCAGATATGTTGTATGGAATAAAATTCCTTACGTTCGGAGATATGCAATAGAACGTGTTTTTCGAGAAAAAAAGGTAAATATGCGCAATACACATTACGGAATTATCAAATTTTAATGATTGTTACATTATAGGTTCGTGGATTTCATCCGAGAGAATTGTATGAATGTGCTTTTGATATAATAAGTCCTATGGCAAATAATTTAATGGCGGAAGCTGAATTAATTTTTATAGCTTGGGAGATTTTTAATGAAATCCCACATTTAAGAGAACGTAATTTTACAATACGTTTAAACCATACATTATTATTACAAGCTGTATTAATGTATTGCGGAATAGAAGATGAAAAATATCAAGATATTTATTCAATATTATGCGATGCCCGTGATGGAAAATGTACAAAGTTTCAAGTACAAACACATTTAATTAGTTTATGCCTTACCGACCAAGCAATGGAAACACTTTTTAATTTATTTGAAACAGAAAGTTCTATTGCCAAGATTAGAGGTATTTTAAAAACAATAACAAAAAGAAAAGGTGACGCTGCAGCTTTAGCAAAGGAAGCTTTACATGACATAGAAGTAGTTATCGCCAATATAGAAGCTTTAGGTGTTAAGGTAATAAATGACTTAGAAGAAAATATAATAAGAATGTTAATTTTTAAATAAATCTTATGTCAAATATTTCAGTGGCCAGTTATGATTGTTCCGTTGTTAGTTTATAAAATTCAACAATATAGCGGTGTCATATATCAAATTACATGTGAATTGAAACATAGACGAAAAGGTGGACAAGACGTTATTGTTGCTGGTGGTCGTTACGATAAGATGTTAATGTCATTTAGACAAATATTAGAACGTACAGAAATGACTAATAAAGAAACTAAACAGTATGGTGTTGGAATCAGTATATCACTGGACAAGTTAGTTTGTGCAGTTGAAGAAATGTCTGAAAGTATTTGCAGAGAAAATAAATTTGGTATTGATGTAGCTGTCTATTGTGACGGATCTCCGAGAAGAGAAAAAGAAATGGCTGATGTACTTCGTGAACTATGGTCGATAGGAATAAGAACTACTATATTAGATACAAATACTGTAGAAGAAGTATTAGAATATTGTCAAGAACATTCTATATCGCAAATAATATTATTAAAGAACAATGAAAAAGGTTATTTAAGAGTACAAACCTGGGAAAAAGATAGATTTCAAGAAAGAAAAATTGGAATTCAAGAAATTGCTGATTTTCTTCAACGACAGACTGAAAATCCTTTACCAATTTTAAATAGATCTGAAAGTAAAGCTAGTGCAACTGATGTTACTACATCAAATAATCCAACGAATGCTAATATAAACTTTATCATATCAGAGAGAGATAAACTTTCTGGCAGTGCAAAGCGTAGTTTTAAAAATACTATACTCGCTCAAATGTCATTCTATTTACAAAGAATATCTCATAAAGTTCCTATTGAAATTTTTGCAGTTTTCTTAGATATGACAGTAATACGAACGATAACCAGTTTTCTGGAAATAGACGAAGAGGAACAAGACTTTCAGAAAAGCATTCAAATCGTTATCGATAAGTAAGTTATTACAGTCAGTCCAATGGTCTAATTTTTCCACGAATCCTACATTCGTATATCATAATTTTTAATTGACAATTAGCATATCCAATATATATCATTGGAATACTTATATTATTTTATATTTTACTGCTTTATTTTCAGGCACCCTAGACATAAGAAATATATCCAATTAATTTGTGAAGAAATGAGAGAAATTCGCAAGGAAAAATTGCGACCAGTTGTAATATTGTACAGTCTTCAAGAAAATCGTTATATGACTCTGATATGAATATTTGTATATACAAACTTTGTAAAATATATATTTTCATAATATTATTCTACAAAAACAAATGTATAATATTTACTTTTATCTAATATTATTATCTTAGTTTTATAGAAATTTTTTCTATAAAATTCTAAAAAATAATGATGGAAAAAAATATTGAATTATAAAAAGAAATTTTAATAATATACAAGAAACATTTAACACATCAAATTCTTCGGAGTTCGAGAGCTTAGTGTGATCACGGAAGTATATTTATTATACATTTTACAAACGAAATATACACTTAGCAATACAAATAAATAGTATCGTCGTTATAGCTATTTAATAGCGAACAATCTATATAATCATAAATTATTGAATTAGATCTTCACCGTAATCTTTTATTTTATTCAAATTAGAACCTGGAAAATTTACTATGTCATTTAAATTGTAATGCGATCTTATTATCTTTTTATACTTTTTTGAACTTTCTATGAAAAATCTATTTTTCATATTTTCTTCGTGTTTTATTTTTGGAAGTTTCCTATTTTGTAATTGCATTTCTGAATTGCTTATATTGATTGTTTCATCATCTTTTGTATCACTCAAAGTATTAGATTCTTTGCCGTTTATATTATGTTTGCTTTCTGCTTTTACTTTTACTTCTTCATTTATTCTTAGATCATCAATATTTTGATCCAATTTACATTCTAGATCTATTACATTTATATGTTTTTTATCATTCTTCCTCTGATGTTTTAGTTTTTTTTTGAGCTCATCCTCAACTACGTTTTTTTCTTCAACGACGAAAATTTCTTTGATTTCATCCAATGGTACATTCGTTATATCTTCTTCGTTTCTATGTGTCTCCTTTGATTCTTTTTTATGACTTGTCTTTTCTGTAACTTTTTCACAAGTAATATCATCATCTAGTACTATATGTTTATCTTTCTTTTTGACTTTTTCTTTTTTCTTTGAACTATTTATATTTTCTGATATGTGACTAATGGTTTCGTCGATCTCTGTTTCGTGTTTTTTATTCTTACTCTTTTTCTTCTTTTTTTTTATCTCTATATTTTTTTCTTCAAATGCATTTTCTTCACTAATTAGATTCGGATCTACATTGTTATCCATGTTTTCAACTTCTCTACCATTGTTTGTACCTGCTTCTTCTGATGTTTCCTCTATCGTTTCAAGATTAGACATTCTTTGTTGTTTTATTAGCTTTTTATTCTTTTTACTTTTACTTTCGTTAACTTTATTATCTTTTAATTCTTCGGACATTAAATTAATATCCAATGCTTCATTAATGATACCAATTTTATTCGAAACATCAGTATTAACTAATTGTTTTTGTTTCTTTTTACGTTTTTTAGAATCAATTTCAAATTTATCCAGTGTACCGGTATGTTTCTTCTTCTTATTAGAATCTGTACTATATTCTACATGATTATTAAATGTTACCCGTTTTTTTTCTTTAATTTCATCAGTTAAATCTAATGCATCATTCGTAAGACCAAGATTTGTTCTTGAAACTTCAAATTTGTTTGTAACATGACTTTCATTATTATCGGTATCTAAATCGAGGGCCATATTTATAAAACCTTCCTTACAATTTTTATCATTATCATCAATTTTTATCTTTTTTGCACAATTTTCTTCATAATCTAAATTCTGCATATCATTTTCAATTGATGTATCCCCTTTCCTCTTGTTCAAGCATTTTGTATTTTCTTGTAATACGGTATCATTACTATTATGTAAATCTAAAGCAGGATTATCAAAGGTATAATTGCATTCAAGCTTTGACTTATTACTTTTTTTCTTGTTAGGACTTTTGGATAAAAATCCGAAACCTCTGTATTGTTCAACTTCATCGTCAGACCCATTCACAGAATTCGTATTACTATTATCTTTATCTTTAAGAAACTGTGAAGTTTTCTTTTTAAAATAATCGGTAATACTGCCCTTGTTTATAGTAACTGTACTTTCTGGAATATTTTCAACATCGTGTCCAGCATTTGTATTTTTTTCCTGCGGTTCTTCAATTTGATTTTCCTTATTTAAAATATCTCTACCTCCAAGTATATCAGCTAAATCCTTTGCGCTGTACTTCTTTACATCTTTACCGCGTGTAAATTTTTGATAACTGTGAAGTGAAATATTCATCGATTAGAACTAAATGTATCCAATATTTGCATTTTACAATAATAATAATAATAATAATAATATGATATACATACTGTACTCGTGCACGACTCTGTTTAGATTTCAATTCTAAGGATTGAGTAATGGTTCCAGAATTTTCTGCATTTATTTTCTTTATCGTATTAGAGTCTGCATTTTCATTTAGAGAACTCAAAAAATCATCAAATGCTTTTTGATGTTCCGTCCATGCCTTGTCTTCTTCATTTTTAAAACCGATGCCTTTTAAAAAATAAGAACTTAGTTAAATTTATACGATAAATATATTTTGAATGCAATGTATTTATAAGATTGTACATACCAACTGTATCATTTTTGACTTTAACTCTTACATGATCTGTTGCACCTTGCTCATTAATACCAAGACCCTTGCCGCTTGTCCAGCCCATTTTTTCTAACATTCTTTGTCCAAATTTATTAGTATCTAAAATGTAATATATTTATATTGAAGTGGTATTAAATAATATTTTTAATAATATTAATAAATTTAATATTATACTTTAATTGAAAATAAATTATAAAAAGAGACGTATTATAACAGGACATTATTATTCTTATAAAATATTATTATTTGTTTTATTTTTCACACATACCATTACTCCAATCTTTCCCACGTGGATTTAACATCCACTTTTGTTTCCTTCGAGCTTCTGCGAGCATAGCCATATTTTATTTGATCAAAATTTCCTTTCTAAAGAAATTATAAAATAATAATATCTTATATCTTATAAAAGTGTGTGTTTCAAATTATGGTTATGTCAGACATATGCCATTAGTCTGCGTCGATAAAACAGATTACGTTGTGCATAGGTCGTTATATCATAAGTTCTGTAATTATCATCTGTAAAGAAATAAATTTAAAATTAAATGATAGGGATATTTTTTGCATTAATAAGTGAGGAAATTTAAAGTTTTAATCTTGTCAAATTGCTTCGCACTTGTTTTACACATATGTTAATCGCGCCCTCAAACAATTATTATTAACGTGACTTATAATCTATATATTTAAAAATGAATCCCTGTTTCCCTAGGTCGCGACATAACTTGAGAACGACTTTACCGATTTCATTCATCTTTTTTTTAAGTTTTCTAATATTTTGTAGAAGGTTCTTACGGAAAGAAAAATAAAGAAAATCGCTAACAAAATTTAAAAATTTCAGATTGAAATTTCGTAAATTGTCACTTGAGCACGGGTAACGTAAATACACGGTGAAGTTACCTGCATGCAATATGTTCAAAGTTTAATATATCGACTTTTGGTAAGTTTTGATAGACTAACACGTGGTATACATGGTTATATAGAAAAAGTAAGAGAATTAATTTTTTATTTTCAATTGAGAGAGAGAATGTTCGTTCTTCAAAATGCCACCAATTAAACGTATTAATCTAGGCAACTAAACAGGATAACGTCTGTCAGGTCATCTAGTGTTATCATAAATCTAACAAGTGCCGTTCTCAGTGAGATTCTTATGCACTGAAACTGTAAAAAGATTGTCATTGCATTTTTTCATAATGGCCGGCAATACGAAGGTCGAATATGGCTTTGAATTATTACAAAAAACTGTTGACAATGATATTCGTAAAAAAGAAGATGCTATTATATTATTGGTGCATTGGTATCTCGTAAAGTGTGGCTTTAAATGTCTAGGATATGGAATTTCTGTAAGTAATTTAACTATTAGTATACTTTTTATTATTCTTATAGGATACAAATATTTTTACTGGACAAACTATTGCGTGTCATTTTCTATCATTGCATAATATTGCATTATGACTAAACCTTTAATCTGTTTGCATCGTCAGTTCTATCAAATATCTATGATTATGCACCGTTCCAAGAGAAAATTATTAATATATTTATTTTATTTAATATATTATAGAGAATATTTGATCCATCTGAGAGAGGCTCAGAATTACTTCCAGAGGAATGGAACAAAGGTCCTAATTATAGGCTACGTTATTTAAAAGATGGAAAATTGTTTCTTTTATATGGAATACAATCCGATGAAGATGTGGTTATGAATTTATTGGTAACATAAGAATATATCTTAAGTCATTTATTTATTTTATCCTACAGACGTTATTTTAATAGGATACTCTTTCAGAGAACAGAAGATGAAAAAATAACAAACGTAGAGTTTCCTTTATTACAAACCGTTAAAGAACTTCATGGTCCATTAGAAGTTATGATACCATCGTATCCAACAGTTTTATATAAATTATATGGAGAACTTATAGGACCTTTAAATCCTAATAATTGTAAAGATCAATCTACACAAACATCAACTTCTAGTTTTGAACGAGAGCCTAGAGAGACTTATGTACAACCAGAATTCAATCCACTTCCAAGGAATCCTTCGCGACATTGGTAATATTTATATCGATTAATATTGGGTTTGTCTATATATTCTTAGTCATTTTTTTAAATTACCTTATGAATTTTTCATGCTTTTATTAAAGGGTACCTGAAGCAGATCCAAGAAGAGTAGGTGGAGCAGATTTAGATCCGTTTGGAAGAGGTAGGGGTGGTGGTGGAGGAATGCTTTTCGAACCATTCAGATGGGGTATGGATCCAAGAGGAATTGGTGGTTTAGGAGTACCTGGAAGATTACCGCAGTATGTTTAAAAAATATCATTTGAAATTGTGCATTTTGTTTTTAGTTTCGCATTAATAATTATATAAATATAAAAATATTTCTTTAGCGGAGCAGTACCACCTGGAGCAAGGTTTGATCCTTTTGGACCTCCTGATGTAAATCCAATGCCACGTAGAATACAAAATCCTGACAATGATGAATTTCCTCCACCAGGATACAATGATATGTTCATGTAAAAAAGGAAAGCTGAATAAAAAGAATATGTTCCATACAAAATTTCGTTGATATTTTTCTCATTCGTTAGCTCTTACACTATTTTTTTGTTTAATAATTGATAATTTTTTTTTTTTTGTAATGATATTGTTTTAAAAAAAGAAAATTTGTTAAAAGTGATTCTATCGACGTTTTGTATAATAATAATAGTAATAATAATAATTTTTATAGCCATAGATCTTTGTAGTCTGTAGAAACATATTTTATTTTAGCATCTTTAAATAGATATATATATAGATATATATCTAATTTTTGAAAATTATCGTAAAACATTATTTTTCCTCACAAAAACGTCTTCTCTGTTCTTTTTTTTATTATTTCATTACTGATGTTTACAATATAACAAAACGATTTCTTATTTAGTTTAAT